GTGCTTGTAATACTCCATTCATCTGTGATGGAAGACAAGCCTGAAAACAGAACTTGCAAATAATCTCTCTTCAAACATAATTTTTTGCCTTAGAAACAATATATTATTGTACTTACTTGGACCACAAAAACAGTGCAAATAACCAGTAGGAAAGGACCGAAAAAGCACATTGTTATTGATAACCTGAAATTAATTGCGGGGATAATTTTTCAAATTTTCTGAATTTGTTTTGTAAAAAATTTGTATTTGAAAGACGAAAAACTACAAAGAAGCATTTGAGCCCCTTTCGAAGATTATTTTCCAACAGAGATTTTAGACAAATGAAGTTTTTCTAATTCCACTTTTTAATTTTCTTCAAATGACTATTGATTGATTAGAATTGAAGAATTCCGCCTAGATATTTTCGAGTTTTGAAAAGAATTAAGATTTAAATCGAAATTTAACTGAACGGATTTCAAGAAAAAATTTTCTATTTATGTTAGAAAGCTCAGTATCTGATATGAATCTTTTCAGAATTCATAAAACAAAGAAACGTTTTATGAATTCAGTGTAGAATGGTCGTGCAACTTTCACTTTATCCTAAAATTCACGCATTTTCACTGAATACTAACAAAAAAGTGTTCTTATTGGTTGTCAGTATTGGCCAAAAGATATCCTTGTTCACAGTGGTCGAAATGAGCCCAGTCTCTTGCGTGTTTGCTTGAGGGGAAAGGACATTGACATCATATTTGATTCGTTTCTTTTCAATTCACTCTTCTTCCTCTGATCCTTGCAATTCGTCATCATATCATATCATATCACATGCTTTCTTTAATGTTGATTACATTTTCTGTAACATTTTGAATAAAGTATACGTGAAACAAATAACATAAAATGTCATCCTATCTAAAGTATCAAAAGTCATATTTTTAGTTTAATTAGTGCTTCATTTCATCAAAGTTTCATCTCATCTCATTTAAAATTAGTCTTTATTGTAAAAATGTAACGCTGTTAGAATATACTATACTGTCAATTATTCCGATGCAAAGTTTGCAAACAAAAACAAACATTTGTATTTATTCCATCATTCGACAGTTAAATAAATGTATTATGATCGGATGAAATTACTGTCGAAAAAATATAGAAAAATTTCCATGCTTTTTTTGTCTGTGAATTTTGTCTCGTGAAAGTCGTGAATTTTAAATTCACACTACGTGACTTCGAATTAACGCTTCAACGCTCAAATCCAATGGATACAAAAAGAAATACTCTCATCCACTTAAACTTACCACAGTTGCCATAAACAATTTTTAGCGAAGATCCAAAAATGTAGTACGAATTCTGAAGTAAATTCAACGCTATCCTAAGCATCAAAAAATTCACTTATTTGATTTCATGTTTAAGAAAATGAGGAGCTCTACGATATGTTAAAGTCGCCCCCAGAAAACTATAAATTAATAGGACAGGTTTTAATCCCGAAGCTTACAATATGGAAATCGAATTTCACTCTACCAAGCGAAAACAAAATCGAAAGGCGATGAAAGAGTTATTTGATAATTGGAGGTAATATATGAGGATTTAAAACATTCTAGTATTGAAATAACTATCGAAAGTTGATTGCCAGCACGGATCTTAAACAAGGCCTATTAATTAAAAACAAATAGGGAAACATGGACTGTTGATAGTCCTCGACAATTCCTAATGAAATTAGTCCAAATAAATGAAGAAATAAATAAAAGTGAAACTCTTAATGAGAAATAAAGAAGCAAAACCAAAAATATACGATACCGTGTGAGAAATCTACGTCTTATTTAAACAAAAAAAATTCAAATTATCCAGTTCAGGTAGCCTTAGGCCAATCATTAACTCAAAGAAATTTAATACAAAGACCATTGGGCTTATCAAAATTATCTCACAATCCAACAACGAATTGAATATTTGAGAACGATGCAGCACCGAACATACCGAAAGAAATATTTGTGCTTTCACTGCAAAAGCCAATCAGCACAACACGGCTTTTGTGCTATGCGAAATATGACTCACTCAAAAAGGTGAAACAAATTCGATAATTATCACTAATTGAACAAATCAATCAATACCGTCAAAGGAAGAATTTATACAAAGAGATTGACGAAATTAATTCAAATTATTTGATTGTGTGAGAAATTTTATATTGTTATGCGGACTTTACCGAATGGTATTTTCACAAAGTTTTTTTTTCTTTCTTTTTGTTATAATGTTGGTTTTTTGCCAAGTTCATATAAGATTGTAATGGATCAGAATCGCACAACAATTTTAAGAGTTCAGCAATGAAAGATTGAGAAATAAGAATGGTAAATGATTATGTTCCGAATTATTTTGAATGAATAACTGAACAGTAACTGGCATGTACAGCTTGACCTTTCTCAGTGTATCAGTTGTTGCTTAGCTTGTTGATTATATTATGAAAACTAAAGACAGAGCGATCATGATAGTGTAAAATACTCTCTATCTTTTATTATTTGTCACTGTTTATTTAAAGTTGTATGTTTGCTGACGAAATAAACGAAATCCGTCGTTCACTTCAAATATCCTTCTAATAAGTATTGTTACTACTGTAACTTATTTCGTGTCAGTGTTGGATTCAAATCTGCCGAAAAAAAAACAACTTCTGAATTGCTAATTAAAATTTCTCATTCTTTCACTTATTAGCTGTCTTTAACCTCATTGTTAAATGGAAAATGAGAATTGTGCAGAATTAAATGTCTTCCTTCTCATCGGATACTCTATTGATCTTGCCTTCTTCCTATTGGATACATTTCTTTCTTGTGTTTAATTTTGAATGAAAAGTTGAATTAATTAACTGAGAATCATCATTTTAGCCATCCTGAATTCGAATGATTTATCAAAAGGGAAATTTCGTCATAGCATTGTGATTATTTTGATTTTCTTCTTGTAATGAAGCATGATGAATTTCAAATTTCCTTGTCATCTCAGTATTGTAACTTCATAATGAGGTAATTAATAAATGATACCATCTGATTCATTTGTCCATGTATCGTCTCAATTACATGGACTATAGTTGGTTGCGAATAGTTTGGTTGTACCTGAGAAGTAATGTCATTTTGTAGGTTTTTGATTAATAATTTGAAACGATCAAAACATGATCCGAAACTATCGATTAGTTTAAATTTTGATTCCTCCATGGCTAAGCGATTTGATATCTAAATGTTTAAATAGTTGGTTTCAATAGGTAAATTGGGTTGTTTTGCA